TGACTGAGAACTCTTGAAGACAAATGCTCTAACATAAGTTACTGGTGGCTGAAATCACAGCTATTAAGAATTTCTTGTAGTTTTATGTAAACTACACAGCACAAAATATAATACAGTTTCGACAAATATACACATTTAATCATTTGATTGTTACATGGTGCAACTTACCAATTCCATCAAGATCCTCTAATTTGATGGGCACAGCTTGATGTATGGGTCCTCTAGCAGAGTTCTGCATTGACATTATTGTATCAGGAGGCTCTTGTTTCACTATGCTTTCTAATTTTGTATCACTATAATTTATACTGTAAATTAAAACAATTCATTAGTACAAAGTATATTATAACAAGAATTAAGACAGACAGACAAGAATTCAGACATATTATTGGGACAGAAACTTAACTAAACTCGATTATTTATTTTTTTTATTGATTTTTATATGGTATAATGGATTTTTATATTGAAATTATTTCTGATGACAATATTTCAAGTTAAGCAGTATAAAAGAAAATAATACTCACTTAGACATACTGCTAGGATATTTATCAATAACTTCCTGTTTAATTTCTACATGGTCAACCTTCTTGGAAGATTTGGGACTAGTAATGGGATCCACAAATGAAGAACTCTCTGAGTCAGACTCTTCTCTTTCACTCTTAATCTTTATATTTGGCAACAGAGGTTTATTTTCAACAGTTTCATATGGTTCCTCCTTCACTTTCTTAGTGGCAGCTTTTTCTTGTCCCTTATTTTTACCACCACTATCTTTCTTAGGAGCTCTCCGTAACTTCTGTAATGGTGATCCACTTTTCGGTCCACCAAACATTAGTTTCTTAGCACCATTTACAAGGGCTACTCTCTGCTTTATGTCATCTATTGTAATTCCTGTTGTATTTAGTTCAGGGTGGTTCTACAATAGAAATACACATTATTAAATATCATCTTACTTTACACAGATATAATACCCAAAGTTTGTTCACTGTATTAAATACAACAATGTCACATACTTCAATTCAAGCACTATACAGATAAGGTGTATAATATATATATTATAATTCATGTCGGTTGAAATAAAGGTAATATTTAATGTAAACATTCTAACGTAATTGGTTACCTCTCTATATTGTCTTCTTGTTCTATGAGCTGCTAAAACATTCTTTAAACATTCCAGGGATGTTAAGTTTGACTGATCGGAACCACCTAACGTGCCAGATACATTTCCATCAGTAGGCTGAAAGTATAAATTGTATTTTAAAACTTGTTCTTTTATCATAAGAGCCAAATTATAATGAACTTAGTATTTACTTGTCCTTGAGCTTGTTTCCTCTTTCTTGTTGATTGTTCTGGTGGACCTTCAGGGTAATTTTCATCTTCAGATTCATCCCCTCCAACCTCACTTCTAATAGCATTCAATTCCTCAAAATACCTCTGCTTAGCTCTCAAGTACAATGGTTTAAAATTGTTTTTTGATGATGGCTTTGGTGGTAATAATGGAAGACGTGGAATGGGACCTGGTGGTGCTGCTCTGGCAGCTGCTAATATGCGTTCACGACTTATCAACACTTCTGGTAACAACTTAGCATAGTAAGACTTTATCTGAAAAACAAAGTTTGTTTGTCAACATACTGTTTGTCACTTGACAATGCTCAATGATTTTGAATGAACAGAGCCTTATTAGATTAACAACAATAATAATCACCTTGTGTTTCTGCTGTTTAGCTCTTGCTTTCATTAAAAATTTTCTCATTTTAGCTATATCTGGCCTATAGTTGCCCTGCCTTAAATTGTTATAAAAATCACCAAGAGGTGATGTGAAATGAAAGGGTTCATGATTAAAAAGCATTTTTATGGTTTTCTCCTTCTCCTCTTCCTCATTTTCTGTAAACTGGGGCAAGTATTTACTTAGTTCTTCTTTATGTTTATCTTCCAAAGCATCCCATGTTTTCATTGAAAAAAACTCCTTGAAAACAGAGTAGTCCTCACACAACTCTTGGGGAAGCTCTAGAGACTGTCCCATGATGCGGACCGGCTCCAAAACCTCGTCATCTCCGTCTGAACTTCCGCTAGATGATTCGGAAGAGCTGCTGCTGTCTCCACTGTAACTGTGTTCACTCTCCATCTTTTCCTCCATTGGTTACAGAGATATAGTTCAATGCTCAGGCAATCTTGATGAAATGCCTAGGTTTTTCACTGAATACAATAACGATTTTCCGCCCACTTCATTGAATTTTCACGTTGTTTTGTTCGAGTTGTTTACGAAAAACCTAAGCAATGGTATAACAAAATCGAACAATGAGCCATGAAGTTTTTTTAAACAGCCGTCAAGTCTTGTCTAAAATAAAATAGAACGCACACGCCAAACCACGGCGTTTCATACATACTATGCGCCAGAACGGAACATTACGATGAGAAAATAGCTTGACAATCAAGAACAGCGACATTTTGCCCGCAAAATAGAATTTAAAAATAAAATTGGATTGTCTATGACTCTACGTTGATATTGTCTATTGACGCAGTATATGATTTTTGTAGGAAAGAGTACCTTCGTTTATAGATTACCAGTTTCTGTACAAATCAAAAGAATATTGAGCAAGTAATTTATTATGAAATGGTTTTTTTTGCAATTATTTTTATCTACACTCTATTAACTTATCAGATCTATAATAAGAGCAACACCATAACTGTTGCTCTTTCTCTACTGACTCACCAGTCACCATGGAATGGACCAAACGGAGCAATAAATGTTCTTCTTAGTCATTGTTACTCATTTTTATTACATTAAATAATAATAAGAGACCAACACTTACATCTTAGTTATTAATTTGTTGAGCACATAACATTTTAATTTTCTGATAATTTTCCCATTCATCATCCAGCACGAATTACGTTAAAGTCACATTTTTTCGTTTTATAATAAAAAAAGTCAATTTGTGGTGGGTATGTTTTATGTATTCCATGAACAATCAGGACACTATAGAATAATATGTCAGATTTTAGGAATTTCCAATGAGATAATAAATGATATGAAAGACGGAAGACGGAGTAGTCAACGTTCTTGATAATATCTACTTATAAATTTCAAAGTTAGCTGATAATGTTATTTTTTGAATATTATCTGATAAATACGATGGTTTGTAAAGTACATATTTCACAAAATAGTTAGTAAGTCAGCAAAAATATCATTTTACCCATCAATTGCGTAAATTGAAACGCAGCGCTTAAAAACCAAAAACAAGCAGTTGGCGGTGGTGGTGTCGAAAGATTTGACTTTTTGACGTAAATTATTCGTGTAGTAAATATGGCTGACGAACTCAATGTTGACAGTCTAATTCACAGACTTTTAGAAGGTAAAGATACTTTTATTTCATTTTCTTTTGTGTTCTTCGATTCTCTGACTCTAAAACTTATGTTCTAACATAATGGATCCTCGCTCAGTGTGCTCTTGTTGCGTAATTATCACCGAGTATGTAGGTATAGAAACGTCAAACTCATAAATAAATCGATTATCCCCAATTCTTATCTGATTCTGCATTTGATGTTAGATCTTTAGATGATTCGCAGACGACTATTTCCGTCTTAGAAATAGAGCAGACACTGTAAATAGTTAAATTATAGAGCTACGTTCTAGTAATTCACACTACTAACAATGATGTCAGATTCATAGCATGGAACACTTCCATGGGCCTATTGTTGAGCTTTATTCGCTTTCTGTATCACTTTATATGATTTAAACATGTTTATTTCACTTTATTATGCTGCTTTTTGGTGGGTTACCGCAGTGTACAGACTGCAGCAGGAAACAGCAAGGCGAAAAGGGAAATTGAAAGACATCTTTTCAGGAGAATGTATGGTTATATCCAGAATTCTTGCCAAAGTATTAAGCTAGATTCTTTATTTTATTCCTTTAGTGACCAATCCCATTACAGAGTTTCCTGTTCAAATTTGTTTTTGTATTTTTTTCTCTTTTACTTTTTTATTGCTCTTCTTATGTCCTAAAAATAGCTCACTTTTAACAAAGGGAAGCTATTGGTGTTGGAAGGCCTACTACTTTGCCCAAAAGTTACACAGTAATTTGACCGCTTACAAAACCACATGAACATTTACTGTATACATGACACAATAATTTGATAATTTGTGGCATCATGAAGACTTTTCTGTTCTATGTATAGATATTAAGTTTTTTTAATTAATTCTCTATTATTTCTTCTGATGAGTTTTTAAGCTAATGAAAGAAACAGGCATGATGTAAGTTTTTCATATTTATTGTATTCTGTTTAAAAAAAATTTAAACTTCTAAGTGTATTTATTTTTATTAATTTATTAGCTATTCCAATCCCCAAAAATGTTGTCCAAGTGTTGATGTTATTTTTGCGGCTATTCGGTTTATGTTCTACTGCATGTTTTAAACTTCATTTGGTTGACTTATTGTAATAAATGTAAATATGTATAGTCCGTGTATTGTACAGTAATCATAGCAACAATGTTCAGATAATTGACTGAACTTAACATTATACCATCCATGCATTTGTGAGTGCTTGAAGATGTAATTGTGATATGTAATGTCTATATTTAACATCATGTAATTTTCTTAGTTTCATCATTGTAGGGTTGCCATCTGTTTGAACTTCTCTGGGATTTATTTTTGTTGTTACTGGGCATTGAAACTAAAATAATTCTTTGGCAACATTCACTAGGTGTTTAGGACTGATATAACAAATTATGTTTTAAATAAATTGTTTTACAGATGGTAGCCTGTCTCACCATTTATTGTCATGCTCGAGCTTCATATTGTTTGTGTCATTAATACACTAATAATGTTTGACATTTAATATGAATATTGACAAATTAAGGTAATTGAATGTTGTCTCAGTTCGAGGATGCAGGCCTGGCAAGACTGTGCAGATGTCGGAGTCAGAGGTGCGGGGCCTATGCACCAAGTCCAGAGAAATATTCCTGCAACAGCCCATACTACTGGAATTGGAAGCACCACTCAAAATTTGTGGTAAGTTCATTACTATTTATCAATTAGAAATTCCTCAAAAATCCTGTTTCTGAGATAAGATATGTATTTTGATGTATATTTCGCAACATTTCCTGAATAGTGCGTGTTTTAGATGTGACTGTAAAATACATTGTTTGGATAGCAATAATATTTTTCTTTTGTTTTGCTATCAGAGAGATAAGTTTTGACGCTGGTGAATGATGGACAGTGCTTTGCCTACACTTTAAAAATAAACTGTCAGCTTGAATCTTAATAAGATAAAGCTTATCAGTCATTGAGCCAAATGCAATTGCATAAACCAAGCTTGTAAAACATAATTATGACATTAATAAACAATTTAACCCCATCCACCTTCTGTTTTACCTGGTAGGTATACTATTTAAGGTTTGACAGACAGTTTGTCTCAACAAATAAATTAAAAAATTAAGTTAGGCAATTAAAAGGCCATTTTGGCTATTAATCAAAGGTTTCCTTGATCTCTACAATATAGTAACTCATTTACAGGTGATATACATGGTCAGTACACGGATTTACTACGTCTGTTCGAATATGGCGGCTTCCCTCCCGAAGCTAACTATCTATTCCTGGGTGATTACGTGGATCGCGGCAAGCAATCCCTGGAGACCATTTGCCTTCTGCTCGCTTACAAAATCAAGTATCCTGAGAACTTCTTCCTTCTCAGAGGCAATCATGAGTGTGCTAGCATAAATCGCATTTATGGTGAGTCTTATTAATTAGCACCTGTATCTTAATTACAAAATATATTATTCGTGTACACATTTTATATTAGTAAGATATACAAACATGTTTTTGACTACTGTCTGAAGTAGTTGTAAAATTATGAGTATATCTTCATAGTAAATATTCTAGTTAATATTAATTTCCACTTTTAATTCAACGTATGCTCGGCGTCTGTCGTCAAGGCTAGTTTATATAGATTAAAATCTTCCTAGATGTTCTAATATGAGTATTTGACACGCGATGTTCATCCACCAGGTTTCTACGACGAATGCAAACGCCGATACAATATCAAGCTGTGGAAGACATTCACAGATTGCTTCAATTGCTTGCCAATAGCAGCTATCATTGATGAAAAGATTTTCTGCTGTCATGGTGGCCTCTCTCCGGATCTACAAGGCATGGAGCAAATCAGGCGAATAATGCGACCCACTGATGTCCCCGACACAGGTGAGCAACATAAATAAGACGACCTCATTATTACTACACCTGCACTAGACTGGTACACAACTAGGTTCATGCTCTTTTGTCCACCCATACATAGATATCCGTCAGTTCATTATCCAGATTTCTATTAACTTTTACATAGTAGAGAAACTTGACCGAACTTTAATCGCGTAAACCTGAACTTGAACTGAAACGGCATCGATGATGAGATAGATGCACGAGATAGTCAGATCGAAATCATTTCGACGAATAAAATAAAATGGATATAAGACATGAGTAATTTGATGAATCATATTCGTTCAATTGTGACTAAGCCGACATTGCTTCCGTCATTGCATGTTCCATATGATTGTGACCAACAGGATCAGTTGCTAAATGTGTGAAGGACATATATCAACAGATATTTGAAGCCATATATTGACAGTTGTTTTAAATACACTCATTTCTACACAAAAATACTTGTATGGACATAATTTAATTATGATCGTAACTCATGTGATCGGAAATGAGTTTTTCAAGCAGCGGTTTATTATTCAATCTTATAGATTACATATCTGAAATCTGTGTTTAAAAGGATTGTTTCCTATAACAATGAACCTAATAAAATAACTGTTCCGAGTTAGAAACCAGTTGAACTGTATGAGAAAAGTTTATGACTTTATTATGTCATATGTATTATGTAATAAACTCACACCTTTGTTTCATACAGGTAATCAAGGGTAGACAGAATAAGAGTATTTTCAAATATTAGTTATAGTTATATCAACATGTTATGTACTATTCCAGGGCTGCTTTGCGACCTATTATGGTCAGATCCAGACAAAGACGTACAGGGTTGGGGCGAGAATGACCGCGGCGTGTCCTTCACGTTTGGTCCTGATGTCGTCAGTAAATTCCTCAACAGACATGATCTGGATCTGATTTGTCGGGCTCACCAGGTTTGATACATTTTTTTTTCATATTTTATACACAGCTTTTTGTCAACTTACAGCCAAAATTATCAGAAGAGACTATACAACTACGGTCAAAAAGCGATTTTTGATTGATATCGATAATGGTTGAATGTAGTTGGAAAGTTGAAAATTTAATTATTGTAACATGATCTGTAAACTTTAAACGGGTCTCCAGTAGTGTATTGTTTTTTTATTTTATTTTTAAACATTGCCCCACTTTAGGATTTTCTCCTGTGTCGTGGGTGCAATTATAAACATACAAGTTCACATACACAATGACACCCAGACCCAAAACAACAATTTGTGGATCACACATAGTATTGTTCCGTGCGGGAATCGAACCCGCGACACGTTGCACGGCAGCCGGTTGCCCAACCACCGCACCAACCGTGCAGTCATTGCAGTATTGTGGTATTGTCTTGTGAGTAATTTTAATTAGGTAAACTGTAATAAGTATAGTACTGATCAATTACTCAGTCTCAAGGTTTCGATACACGACACGTGTTACAGAGTAATAAAACGAGTAAGAATACGTGAACTAATTTTATGAGTTTAGACGGTTTACAAGAGAATTTTCGAAATATTATTGTGCACAAATATTTCAATAATATCCAGTCATCTACATTACATGCTACATAAAACAAAAATAGGTTAACAATACTACCAATTTATTAACAAGTCTCTTATGCGATTTCTAGGTAGTGGAAGATGGATACGAGTTCTTTGCAAAGCGACAACTGGTGACACTGTTTTCTGCGCCCAACTACTGTGGAGAGTTTGACAATGCTGGTGGCATGATGTCTGTTGACGAAACGCTCATGTGTTCTTTCCAGGTATTTATTATTTTACATTCTTTCTCTCCCATCCCCAGTCCCATAAGTCCTAACAAATCTGTTCTCAAATGCCAGTGTTATCTCGTTGATTTTATTAGCTAGCCGTCAATCAAGCTAATTTGATTTTGAGAACAAATTTACTTATTTAGATACGAATCGGTGTTCAGAATTTAGTCTAACTCTCTTTACAGTATGCTAGAACCAGCACTCAGCAGCATTATTTTATTTATTATTGTTTAATCTAAAAAGTCTGTGTATAATTTCTACCATATTGTAAAGAGTGATGAGCCACAAAATTTACGTTTCACTGACTAGAATAGTTATGAAAGTATATCAAGCTTTTAATAAACCGACGTCATAGCGCGCTCGTGCAGTAAAGTATCGGTAATGTATGACGTAAGAACTTACAGACAGATTTACGAGCAAGCTTAGTATTACAAACTTACACGAGACGGCACAAGGCCAAAAGCGTCGTTTATAAATGGATTACAATAAAATCGTCGGCATTTTAGTACCAGTATATATATTGGGGAAATATCTCCCCTCAAGTTACTAAACTTGCAAGCAACAGCTCTAAATAATCTGTACGTTCTTACTATTGTTTTGTAAACACAGGTTCCCATGCTCATTTCATAGCTTTATATCATTTCCATAGTACTTACAACAGCATAAAGTCAAGTCTTGGGTCACAACGCAACAACAAATGGTTCCTTAGACTAATACACCGTTTATTCCTTCAGATACTAAAGCCATCTGAGAAGAAGGCAAAATACCAGTACAATGCTGCCCTGTCATGACAATACAATGTATGTCGGAAACAACTTTTTTTGGGAAAACGCAAATATAACTTTTTGAGGTTTTTCGTCAGTATCTCCATTATTTTGAACTTTATGTATTAACTAATTTTGTAGGAATATCGGTAATTACATATTCAAAATGACCGTATTATATTTTTTTTACTTTACTTTGTAAAAAAGGTTTTAAAGCGGGTATGCTATATTTTGTGACAGTACAAAGTGATTAATTAGTACTAGAATGTTTTACTTAATTAATACTGTAATAATTTATGTGATTTGTTAAAGTAATCACGTGTTTGAATAGAACGAAACAAACACTAATTTTATTTTTATTGTTTTGTAGAATATTGAGTGGAATTTTAGTAAAACGACTAGGTATACCGTAAGCGTTAGGATGGCGGCTGCACTTTATCGATGGAGGTTATAATTATGTTCGATTGATATATTTGAAATGTATTTTTCAGTATCTCTTATTATTTTAATGTACTTTGAATCGAGAGATCACGAAGCTAAAGCGAGTCGCCATCCTGACGTTAGGATGGCGGGTGCATCCTTAAGACATAAGTATATTTTATTACATTATCCTACATTGTCCCACAACTGTACCTCAATGTATCACAAAATGAACCAAGTTCGTTAAATGGTTAATAAAATTGACGTGATTTGCTATTTTCATTTTTCATATTAATATAAAACTAACATTCTCACTCTGCATGGAATGGGATTGGTCTCATACACTTTGTTACCTGGTTATTTCATGAATTAAGGTACCTTTCAGAGTTCATTACAATTTCTATAAACTTTTGCATGATTCGTTTCCATTATTTGGTGTAACAAGTAAGAACTGAAAATTGGGAATGTATGATATGCAAACATTAGCTCGACCATGCTACAATATTAAAAGTATAGGCCTGCATATAGGTATCTAAATAATATATATAGCTTGATCAAGCTTATAGCTATCTCCTCTGATGTAGGTGTAGTAGGATCAGTAAACTCTTCAGAAGATAAGATAGCTCGTTGGTTATTTAGATTCATATTTGAAATTACTACCTTTGAGATTAATACGTATTCGATATTGAAGATCCATGCTTAGCTCTTTCATATTATTGTCTGGCTGGCTGATCATTATTTGGAAATCTGCGTAATTCCTCCCTTGTGCCATTGAACAGGTCTGATACATAGAATTAGCTACTAATACTCTAGAAGAGTAAATCATAACATATTTAGATCTACGACATTATGGATGAGAATATGGATAGCACTACCTACTCTAAACTGGACTGGTTGGTTTTATTTAAAGTTGGGATTATAACATCCAGTAGTAGAAGCCAATGTACCAATCACAGACACAAACAGCCCATAATAAAAAGTGGGCAGACAGGTCTCCTTGTAAAATTAGTTTATATTTAGCTAAAGAATGGTTCTGTCGTCTAGACAAGAAATCTTAGTTTTTAATAAAGACTCGAAGACGAAGAATACTCTACGAATGATGCAGCTCAAGATCAACGCCATTAATTTCTTTCATAGAGGTTTTATAACTATAACTGTCTAGATAAAGTCAATAAGAACGTTTATGGTGTTTGTGCTTGTCGCTAGGATCGCTATTGAAGTGACAGATCTACTGTGCAATAGACAATTTGCTAATAGTCTAGTCATTGGTCTTTTCATTTATGACAATGACAGTGATTGGTCAAATTGTGCTTTACGGTTCATTAGCGCCATCTGGTTGGCATAACGTTAGCCATCATTCAACCACTGCCCTGAATGACCTACTTACAATAATTCTTATCAATGCAATGAGATAGTAGGTACCTAAATAGTTATCGTTGACGCAAATTCCTAGGCTTGTATTGCGTTACATGTTGCACCATAAATTATGCTATCAGCATAACCTCGAATGCATAAAGTATTGTGTGTAGATTCTGTTTCGTGCTAACCTCTTTTGTGTTCCTTTCTTCATAATTATAGGTACCAAAGACAAAATAAGCAACCTATTTCTTCGAATTGTGTACAAAGTTCGCAATAAATTTGTTATTCTACCTCTTTGGTCTTTAGAATCTACCGAAGTATTGGGTTCGATTCCTAAAAGTAATAAAGTAATACGACCTAAAACTAACAAGTACCTACATATTGGATGCCTGTGGTTGAATAAGCAGCTACTTTACCTTCAGAGAATCCTTTCTCTCGACCGTCCGAAGTCGAGGACCGTCGATGTCACATAGACTTGCTACCCGTAGATTATTATGTCTACTAACCCCCTAACTGGTAGTTGTATGAGCAATTGGAGGTGTTGGGATTGTCACTGTACCAAAAAATGTATTGGTAGATGTAGTTTAGTCGTATTTATCTAAACCACAACTTATTCCTTGTTTTGAATACATCTATATTTTTTTAACATAAACCTTAACTCTTCCCGCAGATACTGAAACCATCTGAGAAGAAAGCAAAATACCAGTACAATGGCATAAACAGTGGGAGGCCGGCCACACCTCAACGATCACCACCTAAGAAGAAATAACTGACGTTTGGGATCCAGTGTGCTGCACAGTGAGAGGAATGCTACAAATAATTAATTATATCATGTATTATAATTATTATGTTTAGTATGGTCATTAGACATAGCCGAATAATAATATGTCGCGTATTGTTAAAATTTATTTATCGATTTGCTTGTGCCTTCTTATTTTTAATTTATATTATTAATGTGAGTGATATTAATTTATGAGTTTAGTTCTACAGATTGTATTGAGCTGACATTATATATTCGGCGATGCCTCGGTGACTATTGCTTTTTCGATCCCTGGTTATAAGGCAGCCTTTGAAGTGGTATTGTACCCTGTTGTGTTATTGTAACATGTTGATGTTGTAGTAAATTGTTTCGTTAATTTTAAAATGTTTGAGGTGGCAAGCGATCTTAAAGATGCGGGCATTGGAGACGAAAGCGTCGTTACATTTCATATTAACTATTTATTAAGTTGTAGTGGATCGAAAGCACATTCGCTTGGTTAATTCTGTAACTAATGTGCCTATAAATGTAAATTATATATAGGTCTTGAGTAAGTGACGATAATTGGTTAATTTGAAATTTCTAGTTTTATCGGATTAGGCAAAAAATTAAAATGAATGATCGTCCATGGAACTGTCCTCTGATTATTTTAGTGAATGATATTTTGTTTTCTCTATAATCCTATTGTGGAGCTGGCCTAAGACATGATATTAACCTTCACCTCGTCATAGCAATAAGTGTTTTTCTGTTCTAGGACTCCATTGCAATCACTTATGTGTTAGGAGGGAGTGAAGTACCCAGTGAAATTATCTTTATTTTGCACTCAGTATTATTCTTACCGATTAAGTAGATGTTTCAAAATTCGATGATGTTCAACATGATCTCCCTTATCTGAGGCTTTCACTTCAAACTTTACTGTTAAGTCTCAAAATGAATTGATATAATTTATAAAATGTGGTAGAAGCAGTGTAGTCCTCGCAACAATAGTGCAATTGCTGTATTATTACTGTTATATTATAAAAAATTATATGCAGGTTTTGCATTGTACAATTTTATTTTTTAGCTATGTATGATTTTTCATTAATAAATATCACTATTTAAACTAAGAGGTTTATTTTTATTTTATTTTCAGTTTGGTTTGCATTTACAAATGTATTTTTGTTTAAAACTAACATTTTATGTATTTACTAAGAGAGTAAATGTGACTTAATCTATATCATACTTTTACATTACTTGATGCTTTTTATTAAATTTGTTGTTCATAGATTGCTATAAAATATATTATCTGTTCTTATTTTAACTCTATACTGTAAAATAATTATTAGCTGGTACAGATAGCAGCAATGTTAGAACTTATGTAATTTACTGTCAGTGTCACTTAATATTTAAAATTTTACTCTATTTTCATCTACACTTAGAGAAAGATAAGTTTCGAGAGCAATTGAGTTTCAAATTATATAACTTATTATAAATTTTGTTGTACTTTTTCTCAGGTGTGTACAATTTTCTGAAATATAAATTTTATTCAAATAATATCAAGATGAATTTATTTCATTAATTTCCATGTCTTTCTCTTTCCAGTTTACATCCTCAATGTCAATTTTATCAGCAAGATTAGTTTTAATTAAGTTGTGGTGATTGTCTAATTTGTCATTGATTTTAGTGATGAGGTCCTCATTTCTTCTCTGGTACTTTTGTATGTCCAACTGTAGGGCTTTCAAGTACCCTCGCTTGGCTATCAGAATTTTCTTAATCCTATTTACTCTAGCTTCATACTCTTTGGCCAGGGATTCTAGTAGAACTTTCTGTTTTTTTAAATTAGCCACATCATTAGCTTTTAACTGAGCTTTCACATCCCCCAGTTGTGGTCTCCTATAAAAAAATAAAAATAATGTTCTGATAACTGCATACAATAAATAAATATGCCCAGTAAATTGTATAAATACCTCAAGATCACTGTTACACTCTAACACAATCATCTGAGATAAATCCCCAAAATTTGTTTATACAAAAGCAGTCTCTAGACATCAAAAATAAGATCTATAATGAAGTAAGTGGATACCGCTATCCACTTACTGATTATCCCAAAATGGTCACCAGTGACCGCTCACTGGTGACCATTTTGGGATAATCAGTTATATATGTTTGACATTTAGCTTAAATTGAATATAAAATAAAACCATACAAGAGTGAAATGTCCTTTATGTAAATGGAGTTCTTCCATAACAAAATGTAGGATAATTACTATTATAAAGGATTAGTCACACATGGCAACTATTATATTGCTAGTTTTCTTTCTCATGGAGAAGATAAATAGGTCACAATTTGATTACATTTCTGTTAGTCTGGCGTTAATTAAGGCAGATGTTTCCCATACAAAACATGTATCAATTTAACATTAGCTAATAGAATGTCATTGAATAAAACCCTCAATAAAGTAAACAAAGACTTACCATAAAACTTTATCCGGGTCCATATCTATGAACTTTTCCTTCTGTTTTTCAAGTACATCAAGTTTCTGCGGCATATTCTCATACTCCCACATAGAACTTAGTTCCTGTATCATTTCGTCGAGAATGCCTTGTTTCAAACAGTTGAACATGGGCATCCATTTCACACGCTTCAGTTTTGCTTTAGGCACAGTCTCTAGGAAATCTTCATTTCTAGAATTAATTAAATATATTATTTCGTTTGTTGTTTCAAATAAGTTTTAAACAACTCATTTTGTAATTTTTACAGTCGGCACATTTTCACAGTCACAGAATATAGAGCTAATTAGCTTAATTTTTTACAGTTGAAGACTTCGTTACTCACCTTACAAGGTTGACAATGTTACCAAACTCTTTCAGTATGGTTAGATTATCAAAAGTTATCTCAGAATTATTCATTTCCACATCACTTGCATGGTCTTCAACCTTTTCACCCATTTTATAATAATTTATTACGTTAAAATAAACAACAACAACAGTAATGTCTGAAATTTTGAACGCTAACGAATATTTTGTTTCTCTCGGACGTCATTTTAAATTGGCATCTGTCAGTGTCAAATGAAAACATGAAAACTATTTTGGATATGGCAAGACTATACTAAGGATTTCTATGCATTATCCGATTTCGAGATATTTTAACTGAATTCATCATTTATTAAATTTTAACACTTGTAGATGTTTAGGTTTAGATTGTCCTAACTGATTTTAAAACGAAAGTGTGAATAAAGAGAAAAAGAAAGCAATATTTTTATTGCGAAAAATATCACTCATTATTATTTGACTTATGCTTGTCTATGGTTAATTAATGATATAGACTTTTCAAACCTATGGTAGCTGTTGTAATACCGACGTAAAATAGATAAGTCTATGGTTGAAATTAGCGCGGGAAATTCAAACGTCTTTCTCGCTAAAAAAAAATTGCTTGTGAAAAGATGTGTGTTTTAGTTTTTGATTTTACTGGTAGTGCTTGCTGTATTATTTGTTCTATTATTTATGTCATTAGTATCAGTTACTCGAAAACCATAAAAAGGTAGGCAATGTCTTTTATTTAAAGTATTCTGGAGGGCAGAGATTCCTCATTATTGAAAACATAATAATTAATTACATGGTATTTTGACGGATTTTTTCTTTAGTAACTTATTTCGTTCGATGTGGAGGATGAAGGACCTTTTTTACCTAATTTATTTTTTGATTTTTATTTATAGACCTCTGATATACCCTAAGAACCCAATGCTGGTAATACAAACGTATATTGCTGCCGTTTGATAGGGTAGAATCGGGTAGACGATTAAATTTTATTTTAATGTCCGTCTAGGCAGGTATTTTTTATTTCTATACAGAAACAAATAGAGCCAGTTCCGACAGCTAAACTTTGATTCATTTTATCTAAATATTGTTTTTTTTATACGAGGAAATACAAAATACATGTCTAGTAATGTTTCATTCCTTAAGTGAGGGAATAAATAGGTTTTAACTTTTATACCCCGCCATTAGTCCTATTGTAAAAACCATACAAGTATTGTTGTAAGGTAGGTAAGTAGACTTAAACCTAAATAATGTCTGCATAACATCATTGCTTGTAATCCCCGAAGGTGTAGGTAAGACGTCTTTGAATGTGCAATGTACTTATAGATAGGTATACCTGAGTATTTAACCTTTTTTCACCAGTTGTGTAGGTACCTATATGTGACGTTATGCTACGAGTCCCGTAGAGTTTCATAGTCGGCGTAGGGGGGAATTTAATATTAACAATATTTTTAGAATTTTCGATAAAGTATAGGTACTTATAGGTATTCTAATTACCATTTGCAGTAATACTTAGATATATCTTTCTGCTGCTGGTAGTCGTTAGATTAATAGATAATATATGAAAAATCGACTCAATAAGTTAGTAAACGCTAATAATTGACAATAGGTGCGTCATAATCATCATTGTCATAATCTGCTTGTTTTTGTTTGGATATACCTAGTGAATACCACTTCACTAAGCCCGATCTCACAGAATAATACCGATCTTCAGCTTTGCGGCAATAATTTACTTAGACATCGACAGTGGAGGGGTTAAGAGGTGCAATAAAAAAATCATCCGTTTTGTAGATTTTATTGATTTTTTTAATTTATGGAATAAATAAAAATATTTAGGTAATAAAAACAAAACTTTTGTAACAAGTTCATATTCGTGGCAGTGACTATGTTATTGCAGTCTTTGAGATCTTGCGTGATCACTGATCAAACTTTAATTATTTCGTAATTTATTTTGTAGCTTACACTTTAAAAATTTATTGTTAAATAATTGTTTTTAACATAGTCAATGTATAACAGAAAAAGTTTATAAAATATAAATTAAGTTCTTATAATATGTGGGTTCGATGTCACGCCCCTTAGAAAGCAGCAGCTGAAAAAGAAAATTCAAATCAGGAATTTGTTTGAAGCTTTGTCAACGACGTATCTAGTTTACCTGAGTTTACCTTATAATTTACCTAATTCGTTTATTGACACAAATAGGTAAGGTACACAATTTATTTTAAAATCCATGTATTTTATAATCACGTGTAAGTAGGTACCTAAAGTTTATATTTTATCGTGCTTTGGGCTTAAACAATATTCCTAAATTCTTTTCAGGCTCAAGGCAGAACGAAGATGGGAAAAAAAGATAAGTAAGACACATTCAGAGATTAGCCTGTATGTATACATTATTTTATTTATTTCAATTAAGCCCACATTTATTCGTTATGATCTCGATCAAAATCAAAAATATCTGTACCTATTTACGTATTCGTAAAAAAATATGTTTTAAAACATACAGCGTGTCCCTGGAAGTATGGATCAATTGGAACAGGGTCATAGGTGATTCCCTATATTTTTGTTCTGAGAATAGGGGTTCGAACGGATCTTTCTTATCATTATGCTTTTATTCAGTAAACATGCATAAATAAACGCTTCAAATGTAAAGTTTTCGGTTCTGCGAAAATTGATTCAATTTTGAAGTGATTTTCGTGAAAATATTTTTTTTTTATGATACATGTATCAGAAAAACTTTTACCATTCATACTAATTATTTTGAGGTATGAAAATCGAGTACCTATATTGTCAATAGTTAAGACGTTCGAGAAATTTTATTTACGAGGTCGTCGTAATTAAGCAACTTATTTGGTTTCAAATTGTTGCCTATTTCAACTACCTACTACTACTACCAATTTAAT